AAGAAAGATGACATGTGGGCCAATGATGATATGTTTATTAACATTCAAGAAAGATGACATGTGGGCCAATGATGATATTTTTTATAAGATTTGACAAAGTTATCCAAGTAATACTGATGCAGTAATTAATTTAATTCTGTTTGAACAACCTTAGCTGTAGCAGAGTTTAGAAGTATTTCAATATTCTGAAAATAAACCGCATCTGGTTCAAGATTAGTTTCATTAAAGGTATTCGTGGCGTAGTTTCCTTAAAACTTCTATAATTATTTTTTTCTGTACTATATACACTAGACCAGAATACTTGAATTATCAGTTAAGGAATTTTCTTTCAGAGTGTTGGAGGTGGTAGTGTCCACCTGAGATGACCTTACACAGGCATTACTTGTAGATGTTGGTACTACAGTATCTGTTAAGGAATTTTCTTTCAGTGTGTTGGAGGTGGCAGTGTTCACCTGAGATGACCTGACACAGGCATTACTTGTAGGTATTGGTACTACAGTATCAGTTAAGGAATTTTCTTTCAGTGTGTTGGAGGTGGCAGTGTTCACCTGAGATGACCTGACACAGGCATTACTTGTAGGTATTGGTACTACAGTATCAGTTAAGGAATTTTCTTTCAGTGTGTTGGAGGTGGTAGTGTCCACCTGAGATGACCTGACACAGGCATTACTTGTAGGTATTGGTACAACAGTATCAGTTAAGGAATTTTCATTCAGTGTGTTGGAGGTGGTAGTGTCCATTTGAGATGACCTTACACAAGCATTACTTGTAGATGTTGGTACAACAGTATCAGTTAAGGAATTTTCATTCAGTATGCTGGATGCGGTACTATCAGCTTGGAATAATTCTACGTTAGAGATTTCCAATGTTATTAGTGGACCAATATTTCCTTCTAGTGCTCTGCAAGTAGCAGTATCAGAAAGAGACGTGGAAAGCATATCAATATTTCCAAGAGCAGAAACATCTGTTTCTATTGTCCTTTGACTAGTGCAAGGAGCTGACTGATATGTTTCGGGAATAAAGCCAGCATTTTCAAATCCATACGTAGAAACTTGAGAAGTTGAGGCTCTTTCAACAATAGTATTATAAGCTGGGGGTGGTGGGAGGTAAAATTTTAATACCTCCTCATAAGTGGGAGGTGGATCATACCTTGGAGGTTCTGTAACAGCACGTTGTCCATTTATACCACCTTGATCTGAAAAATAAATTTGTTTTTAAACTTTAAGATTTACTCTTATTACTCAGATCATTAAAGTCGAATCAAAAAAACGTATGATTATAACTATTACCTAGGTTACATAAGTTATGTTCGATCGTATTGATGAACGAAAATGATAAGTTTTGGTAAGATAAATGAGTTACTGAGATTCAGCGAAGTTTGTGCAACGATGGCATTAATTTACACATTCATAGATAAACAGGAATGTCAATCATGGATTACTTGTTAGATGTAAACAATAAACAGCGAAAACTGGCTGAGCAAAAATAATGTAGATATTAAACTATCAACAAAAACCATAAGCACAATAAAGACCATTAAATGGTGCGTACATTTCAAAAAAAGGGTAAAATGGGGATCAAATATCGAAAGTACACACATACACACATGTGTATTATGCACATATATATGCACACACACACACAACATGCATATATATATATACAGAATCGAATTGAAACACTATTGATAAAACAAATAACTTCTTTAGGCATTCAAATATCAAATGGTAAATCATAAAATATTTTGATATGTAATACTGAACTATAGAATGAAAGAAGAAATTACGATTTATAAAACTAGAACTGTATAAAACTAGAACTGTATAAAACTAGATCTGTATAAAACTAGAACTGTATAAAACTAGAACTGTATAAAACTAGATCTGTATAAAACTAGAACAGTATAAAACTAGAACTGTATAAAACTAGAACTGTATAAAACTAGAACTGTATAAAACTAGATCTGTATAAAACTAGAACTGTA